AAGCAACGTCAGTCGTATCTAAATCGACGTTTAGTTAATATGCGCACGGGTAGATGTCTCTGTAACTTGTTAACTTCAAGTTCAACTTTTAATCTGTCAAACTTCGAGGTTGCGTAAATTGATATGCGGATTCAAAACTAAAAGCACTTAAAGGGAACTGTTAAAGGGAACTGTTACTATTTAGTGAATTATTAAAATAGAAGAAATGGTTGTTATAATTATCTTATTTGAACCTATACTTAATGTAGGTAAACACACCGATCCTCTACATTCATTTATAACATGCATTTCAGGCAGAAAACTGGCAAATCAAATGCGTTATTCTAAAATGTTGAACATTAGCTACGAGCAAGGTTTCACAATATCGTATACAGTCCTCTTCTTTCGGCAAAGGTGATTTGGTAACGAGACATCTGTATCTGCACCTATCGTGCTTCAGCTTATGAGATTATGTCAAGAAGAAGTCAAAAACAATTTCGTTATACTTATAACGGATGTTCAGTTCTAGTTTAGATGCTACAAGATAATTATAAAGTTACGTCAATGGTTTTCACAATTTCATATGCAAGTTGTTACAATTTACCGATTAAACTCTCCACAAGTGCAAAGTAGTTTTAAAAAAAAACTGTTTCTTGATGTATTGAAGTAAAAACGTAAAAATAAATGTTAACCAGGTAAACACGAAATGACAGAAGAAAAGCTGAGGAATGCGCGACATACGTTTTAGACCGCCCGTATGAATTGTACAGCAGACTCAAGTTACGAATTTCTATCCTTCTCTAGCAACCGTCAATCTGTGTGAGAGGCACCGTTCCATACGCTAATTATTGCAATACATAGCGATGAGTCATACCCAACTTAATTTGGCGTCAACTATATCNTTTAATGATTAATGGTTACCCTTATACGTACATTTTGGATATTGCACCATATTTTATAACGGGCGATCAAAAATGAGTTGCTGTCGAGTCGCCTTTGGAAGTTCAAGTTAAGTACGATTTCCCATGTAAACAAAAATTCCAAAGGTGACTCGAAAGCGATTCATTTTTGATCACATATTAGTTATTATAGTTTTCCATTTATCATTTTGAATTTGTGAGGCAGTGATTTCCCCATAGGTTGTCCTGCAAAGTTTTAAACGATCATTTCTGCGTCGTTAATTTTAAACGAGAATCTTTAAATGAAACTGACGTTTATTATTCTACAGTCACAATTTGACATGACAAGGTATATTGTTCCTACAATCAAACAATTTTTAGCCCCAATATGGCGGATTATGATAAATTGTCGCCACTGTCCTTCACTTGTAACTCACTCAAGCATTCGAACGCTGCAAAAACGGGTTAGTAAGTGCTTGTTTACTTGCCCACCTCAGACACGAGGAATTCACGCTAGTTTTGTCAATTGACGTGAGAGGATGAGAGAAGAATTGGAAGTTGATATTATTGCAACAGAGATGAAAAGAAATAGAATATATTTGTATGATATTTTAATAATATACGACATAGAATATACAATAAAACATAAAACTTAAACATAAAAAAATTTCATTTAAACATATTGTGCCAAACAACTCTTGCAGACCGTTTATTCGAATTTAAAACACCAACAATAATGACGGGACATTCCTTGTATATGGAAAATACTTGCAATTTGCTAAAGTCAATCCGGGGTTATTTACTAATAAAACACAGAATTGGTTTATTATTCAATTCATTTGAATTTGTATTTCTATAGTCTTTTTAGATTTTATTTAGATATACACATCTGGTCAATTGCGTATTTATAAGAGATTTATTTTAAGTCCTTTGCGGTAAGAGCTTCTGATATCAGGTAAAAAGTTTAATTATATAATTTCCGGAATTTTTTATCAAGGTGGCTGTTTTCTTTAAAATAGTTGGAGGCGGTAAAAGAACGCGGCTGGTTTCCGACGGTTTGAAAAGCGTGGTGTCCTATTGGTAGATGTTAGAGAGAAATACGAGACTGCATTGGAGTGGAAAGGGGCTGCGATGTGCTAGAACAAACAAGAGGAAACATCAAGAGATACAAAATGCAATAAAGAGGGAGAACTGACAAAAAGAAGAGGATGGAGGGTAAAAACGAACACAGGAACGGCGATAGAGGGTGACGATACATTGAAAATATATAACAAGCACGCACTGTGACGACACAAGGACGAAGAGGGGTACGTATATGGTCAGAAGAATGTGTGGAAAACCACAGTCGTAGACTGAACGCGCGGAAAGGAGAAGCAACATATGAAGTGGAAATACGTACAATGGAAAGACGTAAAAGAATGGAAAAAGGAAAGAATAGTGGAACAGGGACTGTACGGAAGAGAAAAATAGATAAAAAATGATTGAAAAAGAAAGAAAAGGTGATATGTGAAGTAGTTGAAATAACCGAAAAGAATGTGCAAAAACAAAATAAAAGATAAAGTTACAGAAACAATGAATAAGATATCAAGAAAATCAGAACAAAGCCTGTGTGAAGGTCGATAGAGGGAAAAATATAGGAAGTCGGGACAAATTGAAATAGGAAAAACACAAATGCGCGAATTAAGGAGAAGAAGTTGCGATAAAACTAATATGAGGAACAAGCAAAAGGAAATTCCAGAGCGAGTTTAGAACAAGGTGTATGGAATGAAGATGATAAAAATTGGAGAGCTGAGAGAATCAGAAAGTAGCTATATGTTGTAAGGGGGCGTTTCACCTGAAGGGAAGAACATCAAACTAGATAGGGGACAGTCCTGAAGAAGATATGGATAGAGATAGTATGCAAGGCGGTAAGCTACGAGGAGTAGAGAGAGAAAGCAAACTTATTATGAAATGCTTGTAAAAAAAATAAATACAAAAAGAAAATAGTCAAACAAAAAAAATGGTACGGAAAAGCTACAGAGAAGGACTGAGAGGGTGGAAGTAATGAAGAACTACTAAATTGAAGGGACCGGAAATGAGAAAATCTGAAATTCATAAGGGAATAAAAGAAGTGGGTGCCGAAATATCTCAGGAAAGGACAGAAGAATATAAAAATATCAGCGAAGTGAGGAATGAGGAGAAAATAAATGAAAGAAGGAGAAACTAAGAACAAAGGAAAGAGTCCAGGAGGGAATTTTGTTCAATTACTCAACGGGGGTGCGAGGAACAGTCTACAATTGGTCCGAATGACGGTGTACCTCTCACATCCTAAATATTCTTAATCTTTCCCCCGAGATTGAACATGGTTTTTCGAGTTATTACCAACGGCACCAATTAAAATAACTGCGAGCCCTCAGTATCCATTGAAAAGAGAAATCAATATAGTAGGGCGACGAACCAAAGAAAATAACTGCGAGCCCCCGGTACGAGAGGAAAAGGCACATAGCGAATACAAAAGTCTACCCCTTGAAAAATGAAAGGATTTACGTCCATTATTATAGAAAATATCACCAAGGAAAACAGCCCCTTGTCGCCGCAGAATATTCAACCTGATCACGGATTAAACAGATGCATCCCAAGAATAAATTGTAAATAGAATGTGTTACAATTTGGGTTAGTGCATCTATGCCCAGTTGTACATGGTAGTCAATTAAGAATGCGGAGTACTGTGTCTGGGAACCAAGGCAAAAACCTGGAAAATATTTTCAAGGTTCTGAAAGTAACGCTAGAGGGCGTAACTGCAATCTTAAATCTAAAAAAGCGATGTTTCTGGGAATTGACAATTTTTGCTTTAACTCTAAAAATAAAATGATTGGAAATATTCAAAGGTTTCCCTAAAAAACACCCTGCATCTTCGAAATGGCTGAGCCGATTTTAACCAACTTGGGCTAGTTGAGAAGAGCTAGGTAGCCTTAAGTTTTGTTAGTTTCACATGTTGCCGCTAGAGGGCTTTTTTCAACATTCCGACAGAAATCGTTAATTTTCTCAGTTGTCAGTGGCACATCTTCCAACAACAACGGTAATTGATTGACCAAAAAGTCAAGAAAGACATCGCCATTTAGGAATTGCTCAAAAAAATGTGGCCCAGTAATTCTGTCTCGTAGTATGCCACACCACACGCCCTTGGTGCTGAACAAGCAACCAATGCGGATTTTCTGCAGACCAATAATGAATATTGTGCAGTATGATTCCCCTGTCATTATTAAAGGTGACTTCATCGGTCGATTTTGGATAAAAGTAATTAACAAACATTTAACTATTGACAATTACAGGATTATTTATGTTTTGATTAGGTATTTGTTTTGTTGTCCATGACCTGCAACTCCTATTACTTAAGTGTATTTTTGGAATAAACAAAAAATATGCCTTTTGCTATTAGCATTACTTGCTTACCTTTTCGCGATATTTTGTAATATTTTCAAAAATGGTGATTTTATTCTGATGAATAAAAAAGAAAAATTAGTTTAAAAAAATAAAAATTTAAAAGTATAAAATTTTCTTTGACTTAAATTCTAGGTTAGGAACAAGATATCAGGATGCGGTTTTCGCGAACTTTATTAGGCACCATTTAGCTACTTTTTCATGAATAAAAAACCTACCAATACATTTAATTTTTTTGAGAAAATTAACCATTTCTGTAGGAATGTCGGCAAAAGCCCTCTAGCGGCGACATGTGAAACTAACAAAACTTCAAATATTATATTATTTGTAACCCAAGGACTTTTCAACTATTATAGTCCAAGTTTGTTAAAATCGGCTCAGCCATTTCGAAGATACAGGGTGTTTTTTACGGAAACCTTTGAATATAAATGTAATAAAATAAGTCTTTGAATGAACGGCATTTTGTTCAATTACACAGTCTACAATTGGTGCGAGTGACGGCGTCTCATAACCCCAAAATCTTCTCAACCTCCCACGGTGATTTCCTTTTTGAAATAAACTTCTTTACAAAATTAACCATTGATCTTTATGATTTGTAATAAATAAATTGTATTGCCAACAAAACCTGGAAGCATGCAGTGGGTTTGCAAAAAGAATTAAAATGGAAATTGACTACAGAGGAGCCTTAAATATAAAGAAATGTTGAAACAAAACACAGTAAACTTTATTGTTTCATAATGTACAAATACAGTCTGCTTTGGTAGATCCCGTTTTAGGACGTGGTTTTACATGGGACATCATTACCATGGAGCTATAATCGAATAAAAGAAAATAAAAACAACAGAAGCAAAAGAACTAAGATAACATAATAGATAAACAACAATTGACTATATTAATATTTACAAATACCACCATTTTCTGTATTGTAGATGGTAATATTATTACAATGAAACCACACTCTTGTATAGAAGCAAAACCTAAAATCTAATTTTTGGTAAATTAAATCACCGATGAATGAATATGCACGTTCGGTCATTTGTGCATGACGTAGTAATTAAATTAAAAATAAAATCGGCATGTTATACAATAGACACTTAATTATATCTTACTCGTCATTTATATACAGTAGAGTTCTGGTTAATTGGCGCACCGCGTTAGTTAATATTTGGTATTAAAAATTAAATTAAATAACTTAAATGCAAAAATAAACTTAATTCATATCAACATCGTACCCACAGCACGTACACGCAATTTTTACAGCTTTAAGACAGCCAGGCTGCTTATTTCAAAAGCCCTCGTCCTTTTTCACACCCCCGGGCTAATGGTGATCATTACGCAAGCTCCCTTGTTTGTAAATACGACGTTGATAAAATGCACTTAATCCCATCATTAAAACAATAGATCTATCTAAACAATGTACAATATTCACAAAAATTTACATTAACGATACCCTGCCAGAGAGGGCGAGTGCTACGTGTCGTCTTCGTTCGCGTCATTGCCTTCTGATCCTAAATCTTCTCCTTTCTGCACACAATCTCTTATACCCTTGAGTATAATTTGAACCCTTCGGTCTAGGGCTTCTAAGTGTGGCTCCCACAATATCGGCGCTACCGGATCGTCATCTAAACTTTTACGTAAAGCAGCACTTAATTTTACGGGTCCGTTGTGAAATCTGAAACAAAAATATTAAAATGAAATAAATCCCACAATTTCTGCCCTCGAGTAATTACATTAACGCGCTCGCCACAAAACGCGTTACAAATATTTACTTTACGTCCACCCTCTCTCTGTGTTTCGTCACCGACTGTTTCCTTTCCACGTACAAAGAAAATTCCTTTTATGTGCTAATCTAATATTGTATCTATTAAACTTTATGGCTCCTCCATAAAAACTACATCTATGTAATTAGTTCTGCGGCAAAAGGGGACACTGATGCACACATATATAGCCGAATGGTTTTCCGAAAACAACAATAATGGAAAAACCCATTTCGCCGCCTCCCGGAAAAAAAGAACCCGGGTATCCTGGTTTAAATAGAAAAGGTCGGTCGCGCGCGGTGCGGGGGAACGCGCGCCACCGTACCTACCGCTTTTGTTTTTATCCTTTTCAAAAGATCGAACTAAATCGAATTTATTAGTGGTTTGTGTGACTTGGATGTAAAAACGTAATCCTTTTAACTGTTTATTGCAAATGTTGGAGAAAGGGGCGCTCGAAATTAAATAACCTCTTTTATGCTCAAATTTAGATGCGATTTAACTAAAACTTATACATTCGCGGTTTACGCAATTAGTGAATGGGATAATCTGACCCGGTTTCGTTGAAAATTGGAAAATAAACGAGCCTTTTTATCGAGGCTCTGTTACGTTTAATATATTTTTTCTTCGTTTGGATTTAAATATTTACCTATAGAAACATTTCTTTAATCTCAAATGATTATAGTATAATTAGTTATTAGAAACTGTAGTCGTTTTATGTACAGCAGGGTGGTCCAAATTGGACACTTTTTTATGGAAACGCCCTTTATTTTAAGAAATATATAAAAATGGACCTAGGAGTTCAATTTTAAAGAGAAAATCACTGACTGACTGACACACATAAAATTCAGCTATCTCTAATCGTTTGACCGGTAGAGGGCGTTTTTCGAACTTAAGTGCGCTATAACTTTCTTATTATTAAAGATAATTGATTTTAACAAAATCTTTCATGGGCCACTTTTTTGTGTAAAATCCATAGCGATTAACAATTTTTATGCAGGGTGTTTGGTTTATCATATACGGCCCTAAAGCCTTTTCATATAGACCACCCTATATAGTTTGGAGTTTTTGAAAAGAGCGTAAAATTTTCTAAATTTTGATGTATTAAGAATATTATTTGCAATATTGCTTTTTATACATTAAAATATGTTTACTGCGGACATCTAGGCTTCCATGGCGAACAAAAGATGGCAGGATTGTTTAAAATGACAATTTCTTGGTTATTTGGACATTTTTATTCGTTCCAAATATTTTTAATTTCAAATAACACAAAAAACAAAGGACGTGAGAACTCATGTGAATTCAACAAATAAATAATATATAAATAAATAATGCAGATAATCAAGAAATTGTTGTTTTAAACAATCCTGCCATCTTTTGTTCACCATGGAAACCCATATTTCTGTAATAAAAATATTTTAATGTATAAAATGATATATTAGAAATAATATTTAATATAAATAGTGATACATCAAAATATAGGAAATTTTACACTCTTTTCAAAAGAAACAAGTATAAATTGTGCACAACTCCTGTGCAGATAAAGCGCATTTTTTTAACCGAAATAGCTTTTGTTTTGACATCACCAATGGATATATTTCTTGCAGACGTCTCATACCCGATCACAATAAGAGGTCGAGGGGGAGGGCTATGGTCGGTAGAAATTAACTCCTTTCGTTGAGAATGGTAAAACTAGTTCCACTCCCCCCCTCCCTTCCCCTCCACTCCGTACTTTGATAAGACAGAAAGAAGGGCAGCAGTTGGTAGAAAACGGTTCCTTTCGTTGAGACCTTTAAATAGAATACAATAAGAGATCAAATTAATGTCCCCCCCCCCCCCCCAAGCCCCGTCGCTCACTGCTCTCGAAAAAGAGTCGCACGGGAAAGTTATAGTGTGTACAAACCAACAAACTCAATTATCTTTAATAATAAGACAGTTATGAGGCATTAAAAAATTGACTAAATTCGAGAAACGCCGCCAAACATTAGAGATGATTTCTGTTGCGCCAGTGATTTTTTATTTAAAATTGAGCTCCGGACACCTAGGTCCATTTTAACTAGTATTAAGACAAGACCGGTCTTTTGTTACAAGATAATAAAAAAATCGTGACTGCTGCTGTAGGAAACACACTTTACGAACCTTGGAACCTTGCAGGTAGATTTCTCCCCAAACCGGAACTTGAATTCTACGGCAATACCTCTGGACATCTCGACGTCTTTGGCTACACAGTAAGCCAAAGCACACGCCGCTGGTGCTAGACTCCTCGCGGGCAACATAAAAGCGTGCCCTTTGTGTCCCAGAGTAATGTGCCATAAATTCCGCGAAAGTGGATTGTCGTGGTCATACTTGCAAAAGCCTCTTCTGGATGTTCTTCGAACTTTTCCCGCGTATAGAGCGGTTTTCTCCTGGTAATTTCCGTTTCCGATACATAAATAAATTTATTTATAACAGTTAATTTATCACGTGCTCTCAAAGTTGTAACATGAATTTATAACAAGAATGCGAACTCACTATTGATCACTTCGATATCGATGTTGGAACTCCCATTAAACACGATTCAATTTGCTTATATCGCAAGCAAAGAGCTTCAGAGAGCTCCCGTAAAAGTTGATGTCTATTTTACCGGAAAATGGAAATGGTCATGGAACTGTCGTAAAGAATTAATAATAAAATACTCTTGTGTTGGGTGTATATCTGAATTGTAAAAGTAAACATTCATGTAGATTTTAACCTCGCGGTAAATGCACAAAAATATCGCAAAGAAATTAAAAAATACTGTAACGTCACGTAACATCCCGCGATCGCCATTCGCCGTAAATGCTATGACGTCACGCAACATCGTGCGCGCTCGCCATAGGTCGTCAAAACGAAGACTGCCAGTTAATGGCGCGCATGCGCAGCTGATTTATAAGGCAACGCGCAAGAGGAAGTTGCCAGTCTTGCCTCGTTCTCTAGCAGACCAAGCAAAATGCCGCCAGTGACTCCAAAGAAGGAACGTGGGCATCGCCGGAATATCATTCGAGAGTTTTTCAACCTGTACCAAAACTGAGAATGGGAACAACTAGCATTCTTCTCGATTTCATGCAAATTACACAAAAATTCAAATCTCCCTCGGTGTTCTGGCATAAAGGACCCTCAAAGAAAAATTCTAAATTTCTCACGACACTTGAGGTTGATTGCTTCCAAATTGGCACTAAACAAGGGCAAAGTGAGATGAACACACCTCCGGACGTCGACAATAAACATTTGATCCTAATTAAGGGAATTGAATTCGTAATAAATTTATCGAGCTGGTTGGCATTTCAAGAAGTAATTGCGCCGAGTAAAAAGGCATTCTGCATTCCCGAATCGACGCGGTTTCAAAAAAATGGTGTGCACAAAGCGACACGTCACATCAACGCTAGGAAAATGGCAGATCCATTATCATCCATTTTCTAACGCGGGTGTCATAAATATTCCCAAATTACCATTAATGGATGGAGTAGCGCTTCGTTCAGCATATTAACATTGTCAAGGAGCGCCGTCTCCATTTGGACAGTCGTAATAAATTTTTAATCGCGCTGCAATTTAGGTGACAGGTTTGTAGTTAATTTATAGGTTTCGAAAACTTTTAACCTCACATTGCAGATTGTAAATATTTAATTTCGCTAGATACGGCCACTTTTGCGGTTAATGCGATACCAAAAAGTTAAGGGCGCCAGTAATTCTACCTAATATATTTTTATAAATAAACTGAATAATAAAAATTTAACGGGCGCGCCCCATAAAACCCGCAACTTTTAAAACAATTTTATTAGATTTTTAGAATTCCCCCATTTAAAAATGAAGCTGCTCGAGGATTCTTACTTACGTCCGAATGGCCGTCAAGTGTCTCTTGAAAAATCTATTTGATCTTTCACGATCTAGAAAATAGTCACATTCCTTTTCCATTAGCTTTTGAATTATGTGAAACGATGGAAGGGACTTTCGGCATTTAAATAATGAATATAACATTTTCTGCTATACTTTTAAATTATTCTCCGCGATCCACTAATACTCTTCATGAAGAACATTTGGAAGCGTTAGGGAGAACCCGAGAACATCCTAGAAATATTGTTATTTGCTATATCAGCAAATCAAATTGTCTTTCGAGTTAGTTCTAACAGCGTTGCCAAAGTAAAATATTAGTTCGTCCGCCTCATCCTCGTCTTCCTCTTAGTCAATAATTTGTAACGGTTTTTTTTTCTGTCAGTTAAGGCCAGAGGCGTTGGGATTTTTGGTCAAATTCAGTCGCCGGTTTACTGTTAGATTAGCTCAGGTTCATTAAATAAGTTACAGTCCGACTGAATTTCATCCGGTACCTACTTGATAAGCGACGTAGCTCGGGAAACAAAATGTTAATTTCCAAAAGGGTAAGGGGGCGTCTTAAGCCGTCGTAAAGATCACGTCAAAATAGCAGTGATTTTTTTAGACTCGCGTTGGAGTTTCTGTGAGCTCAAGACCGGTAGCTAAAAACACCTAACTATTCGTTATTCCAGATTGGATCAATTATAAATAATCGTTTCTCGGTTCCGAGAAGGGGTGTCATCTACTTTCAAAGGTACAAGCCACATTTTCTGTACATGGGGGAAGAAATTGAAATATTTATTATAATCGGTGTTGTTTGGCAAAATTATACGAGAAAACGGTTGTTGACGGCATTTTACATCTCAAAACTGGAACTACAAGTTTGTTGAAAATTGTCGCTTTTGAGCTACGATATTTTTAAAAATCATCCTTTTGAGGATCTGTACATTTGTCCATTTTCCACCCCTCATGTAACATTTTGGCAACAGCGCTCAAAAACTGGAGCGACAACATTGTTGAAAATCGTTTCTTTTTTTAAAATTTAAAACACAAATATTCCTTATTCACTCGGGATCACCTGCTCCATTCGCTC